CCAAAAGAGCTGTACAGAGTCTTAAAGACTCAACCAAAGACTTGAAGACTGCAACCCAAATGGCCACCGAGGGAAGAGCTGATAAATCAAATGTGTAGTAAAGCCATCTAGTGGGATACTTACTTCTAGCTACAGGAAATTCAAGCTCCTCATGGAGGCGCATGTCTATAATCCCAGTGCTTGTGGGCAGAGGTGGGAAGCTTGTTCTGCTTCCAGGCCAGCATAGTGAATATGTGTTGAAAAAACAAGATTTTATAACATAGAGTGAGACACAGATGAATCTTGCAGACATGCTAAGTGAAATTAACCAGCTACAAAGATCCTGTATAGGTCTGTGGTTTTACTACAATGAGACACTAGTCAAAAACAGAGATGAAAGTGGAGTCGTAGTTTCCACTGGATACTCTCATGGAAACTGTTTAATTTACAAGACAAAAGGAGTTCTAGTAGTGGTGATGACTGTAGCGCACATTGTGTCTAGTGCCACTGTGTATTTCATATGGTTAAGATAGCAATGAGTCTTTTACCACAACAAAATTTTAAATCAAAAATACAGTTAAATGTTATTCATAGGCATGTATATTTTGTCCTGTAGAATGCAATTGGATCCTGGCTCAGTTAGTATGCCTATTTTATATCAGTTTACAAATTCATTTCAGAATTCTTTATTGTGTGTGTGGTCCTTAGAATTTCTCTCCAGACCAGTTCCATCAACATTTAATTCATGTCTGACATATGTTCACATCTTTGAAAAGCCATGATTTCTTTCTTTTTAAGATAGGGTCTCACTGTGTAACCCTGGCTGATCTGGAAATCAGAGCACATACTGATGTTGTAATGAACCGGGGTTTGGTTCCCAGCAGACATATCAGGTGACGAACAACCACCTTTAACCGTAGGTCCAGGGCAGGCTGACCCCCCCTCTGCTGGGCTCCACAAGCACTTGCATTCCTATGGTGCACATACATACCCAAGTCCTTAACACATTGATTGATTGGAAAAGTTGATTGAGAGGATATCATATATCCCAAGCTGAGTTCAAACTTTCTGTGTAGCTGAGGATGATTTTGAGCATCTTATCCCCTACCTCCGTCTCCTGAGTGCTGGGATTGCAGGTGTGTACGACTGTGTTGAATTTTTGTGGTGCTGGGATTGAACCTAGGCCTTTGTGCATGGTAGGCAAGTACTCTGCCAACTGAGCTTCACCCCCAGCCTCACTAATCCTTTTTAGTAGTATTTCTCTGACTGGGGTTGGAGGGGTGGCTCAGCGGTTAGAAGCCTTTTCTGGTTAGTGTGCTTGCTGCTCTTTCCAGGACCCAAGTTTGGTTGCCAGCACCCACATCAGGCAGTTCACCACCACCTATGACTCCAGCTCCAAGGGATCCAGTGCCATCTTCTGACCTCCATAGGTACTTATATTTCCCTACATTCCAGCTTGAAGGAACTGTAGCGTACCATTTCTAAGAGTAGTCTTTGTTCTGGGTTGTGTGCTTTTGTGTTCATCCTTCTTGATCTGAATCACACTTTCCTAGATAATTTCCATCTACTTTCAGGACCCAGTTTAGAGATCTCTTCCCCCAGAAGCTTTTCTTCACACGCTGTACTCAGTTAAAGGGATTAACAAGTTAAAGCACTTGCACATGGCCAGTGACTTTGTTGGGTATTTTTCTTCTTCTGTGTATTCCTCCCTGTGAATCTGTTACCATGGAAATTGCTGCATTTATTTGTCTTACAGAAAAAATGTTTGTTGGATGCTCCAATATGCGAATAGACTGCATTTTAATTACCCTTGTGTTAACTGTTTACAGATCATCTTAGCTTACCTGAAGCCACTGTGTCTATAGTAAAGAAATCCTAATGCTATTTCAGAAAGTGAAGATGGTTTAAATACTTGAAATGTACAGCTTCCTCTTTTCAGTTATCCTGGTTTGATTTGTCTCTTACAGAGAAAATAATTAACAGGAATCTGATTTAACTTAAAGTAAGGGATTTGATAAGAGTTTCTAAATTGCCAAATATTTAAGTGATTTTTAAGTTGTGTAAAAAAATTTTCCCCTAAAGTCAAAAATGGGCTAGGATGTAAAACCAGGCTTGGTTATACATCCTATAATACTGGTAGGGGGAGGAAGGATTACCACAAGTTTGAGGTTAGGTTGGTCTTTATGCAGCAAGTTCTATGTCAGCCAGTGCTACAGAGTGAGACACTGTTTAAAAATGAAAACAACCAACAAACAAATGAAACAGAGATCACCACTACCAACTAACCCAAAAGGGGCAGAGGGCTAGGGAATCCTTGGTAAAACACATGCTTGGCATGCATGATGCTGCAGTATTGGTTGGGGGCCAGGGAGTGTTAAAAATGGCGGTTGGATGGTTATGAATTGTGAAGTGATTTACCGGTATTGCTTCTAGACTTAAAAAGTAAGAGGAAGAGAAACCTTCTTAGGAATGTGCAAACTCAACTCTATGATAACATGTGGGTTTTTTTGGTTTAAATATTTATTTATTTGTTTATTATGTATACAGTATTCTGTCTGCAGGCCAGAAGAGGGCACCAGGCCTCATTACAGATGGTTGTGAGCCACCATGTGGTTGCTGGGAATTGAACTCAGGACCTTTGGAAGAGCAGGCAATGCTCTTAACCGCTGAACCATCTCTCCAGCCCCTGTGATAACATGTTTTTAAAAATGCTCTAGTACTTGTGTGGTTTTGAGCACATACACCTTAACATGGCAGTTAGCATGGAAACTCTACTGCATGTGAGGTCCTCCCCTTAGTTCTTCCTCAGAATAGCATCAGCTATAAAACATCCATGTTTTGGGAGTGGAGGGTTGATTGCGTCCAGTGGCTTTAATTCCATCATTTGGGAGTCAGAAGCAAGCAGGTCTCTGAGTTTGAGGCTAGCCTGGTCTATAGGGCTAGTTCCCGGACAACCTGGCTACACAGAGAAACCCTATTTTGAAAGACCCCCCACTCCCAAATCCATGTTAAAGGGTGATTGCCCTTCCAGAGGACCTTTCAGTTGTCTGCTCCTCATGGTGAATCAACCTTCTGTTCCAGGGGATCTGGTACCTTCTGATGCGCATGCAAACCATAATGCAAAAGATTCAGAGAGCTATAAAGTAAATTGAATATTTAAAAAGGAAATAAAAAATACATAAATACATGGCAAGAGTAAACATAAATCTACTGTGTTTAAAAAATGTTTTAGAAAGATGCTTCCCAGTGACTTAAAATAATTCTGCCTGATTACACACACACACACACACACACACACACACACACACTAATCAACATATAAAGACAACCTGTTTTGTCCATGCATATATTTCTAGGGTTAACCACTTGGTTTTAGATAACTAATCAGCGATGCCTGGGGAAGGCTAATTCTCCCTCTCTTGGTAATTGTTAATTGCCTGTAGCTCTTCATTTAGGGGTAGGACCCTATAAGATTTCTCCTGTCGAACTGGAATTCTAACTGCTGTTGAAATTGTCCAGGCCTTGTTTAGGCAGCCATGGTGTTGAGATTTCATGGATATAGTTTCCATATCATAGCTAGAAGGCACCTCTATGTTTTTTTAATCCAGCATAGTGTGTGTGTGTGTGTGTGTGTGTGTGTGTGAGAGAGAGAGAGAGAGAGAGAGAGAGAGAGACAGAGAGAGAGAGAGAGAGAGAGAGAGAGAGAGACAGACAGAGACAGAGAGAGACAGAGTCAGAGGTAAACTTACAGGAGTTGATTCTCTTCTTCTACCATTTGGATTCCCAGGAACAGTGAAACCAAAGCTCCATTATAATGTTTACAATCACTTTTTTTTTTAACTGTGTCTACATTATCTTTAGTTCTAAGTCATACAGCAGCATAGACAAATCAAGGAGATCCAAGAAGTCTAGAAGATCTGAGTCAAATACCCATGGACACCCATCGTCCACCAAATTATGTTCATATTGGGAGTTCTTTAGTTTGTAGGAAACTTAGAATGTATTTTCATATAGAAAGCATGTTTTTAATTGGAGTTTGGAAGTGCTTGTTTTGAATACCATCTGATTGTGAATTCCAGTTAGTATGTAGGTCAAAATGGGATCCTCTGCAGCTGCCTGGTAGATACAGTGTAGGTGTTCAGTGAGTACCTCTCTGCTTGAGCGAGTTTGACCCCCTTTCTTCTGCTGTAAACAAATTGATCAGAAAATGTACAAAGTTGCAATGAAGTCTCATAGGATTGTAGACTAATTTATTGTTAGAATGCCAGTTCCTGACTCTTTGGGGAATGTTTCTCTTTTAGCTGTTGTTTTATTTTGAGACAGGGATTCTCTGTGTAACTTGACTGTTCTGGAACTTACCCTGTAGAACAGGACTGCCTTTAAACACAGAGAGATCCATCTGCCTCTGCTTTCTGAGTGCTGGAATTAAAGGCTTGCACTACCACCACCCAGCTAGAATGTTTTTCTTATCATCAGCTTTCAGATTGACTAATGTCCCTGACTGGGAGGTCTTATGGAACAGAAGACACAAAGCATGGATTCTAAAGGGGTCTTGAGTTTTAGGAAGAATCACCAAGAATGCAGAATTAGTGTACTGCAGGTTTAAAGGACTTTAAGTCTGGAAAGGAGCCATATTTACATGTATGTAAATATGTATATTAGAGACATGAATCAGCCGTATTGTAGCTGCAGTAGGACATATGTACATAGAAGGAGACTGGTCAGTGTTGTGGCTGTGGTCCAGAAGCCAGAGTCATTGTAGAACTTAGGTTGATGCGTTACTTTATCTTTTTTAAAAATTCTAGCTTGGATATTAAATAATTTTAAATCAATATTTTAGAACTTTGAGTTTGTTTATACTGATCAGCTGAACTAGTAGTACTACCAGAAGTCTTAGAGTGAAAACTTTTATCTTAAAAGAACTAAAGTCTCAAGACTGTGTATGTTCTTCAGTGGTTAAGAGTATGAGGTTCCAGGTTCAACTGCCAGAAAGAGATTGCTTTTTTTTCTGTTATTTCTAGGTTAAGTCATTAAATGAAGACATCATATTTTGAAATATGATTAATCTCCTGATGCAGTATCAGAGGCTAACAATATTAATGGCCAAATCTAGGTAAGTTGAAATTTACCTTTTAAAAAAAAAGATCAATCAACTTAATACTGTTTTGTTGAAAGTAACCATGTTGAGTCTTGATTACTGATTCCCTCATTCCCAGAAAATAAGTGCAAATGACCTTAATTAAACAAACACAAGGTATTTCCTAGTGGAGAATAGTCACACAGCCTATGGAAGTTGGTCTCAGATGAAAGCTGCTTGTTGCTGTTGAATATACTAGATATCAGTGGTCTCCTTAGGGAGCATAAAATCACCTACATATGTGTCGAGTTCTGGAGAATTGTGCTTATAAGAGCACACGCGTCTTTATTCAGTGTTTAAAGTGACAGTGAATATTATAAGGTGTCACAGCTAAGATGTGGCAACCAGATACTAATGTGCTATTCAAAAATGAAAAAATATCCAGCACCTCTCCTTTCCCTTTGTGTAGAAGATTGTGGGTCAGAAGGAGGGTCTCGGAGATTTGAATGGAGATTTCACATCTTTTAGGGCAATGAACAGCCATAGCAATCAGGAACTCTCACCAACTCTGAAAGTTTGCACTGGATCCACACAAGAGTGGGCTTGTCCTCAGGCAGACGCAGGCAGACATGGTAGAGGAGGGACTCAGGGTACCCTGCCCCTTACTGCAGAACTGTTTCTTACTGATAGAGTCAGAGAGAGGAGGAGTCAGTTGGCATCCGCTGGTGGCCTCATCAGGTTCCATTGTTAGTCCTAGTCCAGTAGTCTCAGGTATGGTCCTGGTTAAATTAAAGGAGTCACACACCAAGATCAGACATCCTGAGTCTCGGAAGGGACAAGTGGGGAGGAGGATGGCCAGAGGGAGAGGAAGAGTAGCACATCCTGAGTGCGCTGTGCACTTCAGCGAAACTGTCAGAGCTCCAGTTCAGTCTCTAACAAGTCTTTTTCCCAGAGCTGGAATGTAAACCCCTGCCTGTGTCCACCAGCTTGAGCTTTTCTCGAGGACTAAGCCTCTGCTCTCATGTCAAAACCTTGTCCTGGTTTTGCTCCCTCCCTACCCCGCTCATTTGTTGGCTAGCCCTCTACATTGTTTCTTCATTACCAATATCTTGTCATGTCTTTGTCTCCCTTACTCTCACACCCTAGGTCAGATGACCCCTCTGACTGCTGAATGCCACCAGTAAAGGGCGTCATCTTGTCTGTCCCTCATTCTCTGCTGAGGTTGCTTCATCTCTTCAGTCCAACTTCAAAAGTCCCCATAGTCTATTCAGTCTCAAACTTATTTCAAAGCCCAAAGTCTCTTCGGAGATGCATGACCATCTCTTAACTGTAATCACCCATAAAAATCAAAATAAAAAAGCAGATCACATACTTCAACATATAATGTCACAGGATATACGTTAACCATTCCAAAACATAGAGAAGGGAGCATATTAAAGAAATACTAGACCAGAGCAGGAGCGGAGACCAGATAGGCAAACTCCAAACTCTACATTTTTGCATCTGCTGTCAAAATGCTCTTCAGGTCTCCAGTTCTGTTCAGATCTGTCTATAGCACACTTGTTTTGGGCCGGATCCACTCCCTGTTAGTAGCTCTTCTCCTCAGGTGTCCCGTGACTCTGGCATGGAGTGCTTTAGCACTGCTTCATGGGGCATAGAAGACAGAGATGCTCAGAGTTATTTGAACTGACTGAGGCTCACTCAAGAGGTTTCAGAGAAGAATTTTAGTATGTTGTCTAGAGACAATTCTTGTGATGTTTTGGTGAAAAAAAGTGGCTGCCTTTTGCCCTTGTCTGAAGAGTTTTCCCAAGGCTAAAATGAAGAATTTTGGATTAATGTATCCTGCAGGCAAGTGAATTTTAAGTGCACATCTGACTGGCTCCCTTCCATAGTTAAAATGAATGTGTTTAAGGAGGGCAGGGAAAGAATGACATGATTTCAAGATTTTCAAAATGTTTCTATCAGTTATACCTATTGTAAACTTAAAAATATTTTTCTCTTAATAATTTGACATTTGTCAATCAAAAACTTAAAACATCTGTAGAGCGTGTGCTATGTTAAACAGTGTGCTAGTGCCCTAGAGAATGAAGAAGACAGGATATCTGTCTTCAGAGATCACAGCAAAGTTAGTTGACTAATACACAAAACACCTTAAAAGACCATGCTGTTTTACTATGAGAACACTGCAGGTTGCATTTCTTTAGGTTTATATGATAGTACAATTTTTCATTTTAATTTTAATTGCCAAGCATTCTTTACCTTAGTGTAATAGTTCACTTAGTTCAGAAATAGCCTAAAATACCTACTTACTATTGTACATTAGAAAGGATGAGTAAGGCCCGCTCCTGCTGGGAAGGAGCTCATAATAGAGGGAGAACAGTGTGTAAGTGGATAGCCAGCCAGAATTTCTGCTAAAGACAAAGTGATGTAGGTGCAATTGGACAACCTAGGGTGCTTAGATGGTGTTGTGTAAAAATTCCAATTAACCTGATAGGTTGGCATCAGGAAAGGTTTCACCTCTGAAAAGGGAAGCTGCAGACAGCTATTGTAGAAGGATGTGATACAATAGCTGATGTAGGGAATGGTAGTTTGTTTATTCTAACTAGAGGTAGGGTAGTTAGCAGGGTCGAAGGGGGGTTGGGCTGGTATTTTACCCACGGTGGGCGCCAGATTAGACCTGAAACAATAACACAGAAACTGTATTAATTAAATCACTGGTTGGCCCATTAGCTCTAAGTTCTTACTGGCTAACTCTTATATTAATTTAACCCATTTCTATTAATCTGTATATTGCCATGTGCTGTGGCTTACTGGCTAAAGTTCCAGCATCTATCTTCAGTGGCTCCATGACTTCTCTCTCTCTCCACCTCCTTCTCCCAGCATTCTGTTTAGTTTTCCCCGCCTAGCTCTGTTCTACCCTATCAGGCCAAGCCAGTTTCTTTATTCACTAACCAATAAAAGCAACACATAGACAGAAGGACCTCCCACACCAGAGGGGTTTGGTTTTTAAACCTGAAAGCGGTTAAAAAAAAAAAAACCCTACTGAATTTAAACAGTTTTAATCATATCTGTGTTTGGAACATTGTCTGACTCCTGTGCATCTTTGCCTACTCCATGTGACAAATGTCAAATGTAGTCTGCTTCTCTGGTTTGTTAGAAGTAATGCCTTGAAATTCTCCTTTGTTTATTTGGAATGCTCTTGAACCACTTATTGTCACCTCTGTAAGCTTTATCTGACCTTCTGTGGCAAAGGATTAAATAGACAAAATATATCACAAGTAAATAGACAAAGGTTGGCCAGTGTTGTCTGTTTTATTCTACAGGTTGAATTGAGTTGGCCTTTTTTCTTACTAATGTACTGTTTAAAGTTTGTTGTGTGTTGCTTGCCAGTGAACGCTTGTCTAATAGGACACATAAAAGGGACTACAATGAGTAATAAGAATCAAAATATCTGCTAGCTAAAAGTGCAGCAAAAGTGCAGCATCTTTTTAAAAATATTGCGCGCGCACACACATACACACACACACACACACACACACACACACACGCAGCTCTGGCTGGCCTGAACTCTGTATGAATCAGGCTGGCTTCAGATTCCCAAGAGCTGGCTGTCTCTGCTGGGATTAAAGACATGTGCCAGCTTTTATTTTTTTAAAAGAAGGGACATAAAATTTCTGATAACCCATTAAAAATTGGTTTCTTGTTGGATAGTGGTGGCACACACCTTTAATCCCAGGACTTGGGAGGTAAAGGAAGGTGGATTTCTGTGAGTTTGAGTATAGTCAGGGCTACATAGAGAAGCCTTGTCTCAGAAACCGCCCTCCCCCCATTAGTTTTTTGATTAACTATTGAATAACTGTAAGCTAATTGTTTAGGTAGTAGTACATGGTTTTAGAATAAGCAGACCTTTATAAATTAAACTGGAAATGCACATTTCTGAGGCATATATCACCAACCAGAATTTACCAACTAGTTGAATGAAATTTAATTCTAAACATTAACATCATTGGGCTTTATTTTCTGCATCAAAGTATCATGCTTGTGTGTGTGTGGTGCTTTCTAGTCTTTTCCTGTTTTGCAACTTTTGTATCCTGGTATAATTTTCTTCAAATTATTTTCTGTGCAGTGCTCACATGGTCTTCTGAAGAAGCCATGGGTAGCTGTTGTAGCTGTCCAGATAAAGACACTGTCCCAGATAACCATCGGAACAAGTTTAAGGTCAGTAAAGCCAGCAAAACTATGTTGTTCTTCTTCTGTCTCCTTGGATGTACCTGAAAACTAATTCATCTTGCCGTCTTTCTTTTTATTACCCAGAACCCTTTATTTCCCCACCTTTCCCACAGTCTGCCTTTTCTTATTTGAGTAAATGGCACTTTCTTACTAACAATATGGATTATTGGTCCATTTCCCATTACTGTAACAAATGCCTCTGGCTCAATACTTACAAAGGAAAGAGGTGTGTCTAGCTTATAGTGTTGAATAGAAGAGTTCAGTCAACATAGCACTGGCCCTAACCAAGAACCCCTTTACTTGACTGCCTTGAGGTATAGTATCTCAGTGGCCTGCTCGACCAGAACTCTGAGAGACTGGGTTGACTGGGGTCTCACAGATCCTATGTTGACCCTTTTGAGGGCACACTCCCAGTAACCTCTTAAAAGTCAGTACCGCCACCTCAGCATTGCCACAGTGATGGCCAAGCCTCCTGCAGATGAATGGCCAGGGGGACAAACCATAACAGGAATTCTCCTTTAGTTTTCATTTGGTCCTTTGTGTCCAGTTGATCACATGATTGTGATAATCATTTCTTTAAAACGTCATTTTCGAGTAGTCTTTGTAGTCTTACCACTTGCCAACTTTCTGTCACTAACAAAGGCCTTATATTGAAGTAGAGTTTTATTTGGGGTCAGCCTTGGAGGTTTCAGTACATGATCTGTTAGCCTGCTGCTATGGGGCAGCACAGTGGGACAGAGTGCTGTAGCACAATGTTGAGGTCGGACGCAGTGGATCTTCTTCAGAGACATGCCCACAGCGACTGGAAGACACTTTATAAATGCTGCCACAGTCAGGGTCTATGGCTTTGACTCTTAAGACTAAGGAAGATGCTTAAGATCCCAACTGTAGCACCGTCATTTAGACATCTTCATGCATGCTTAGATAAATGATTAATTTGTTGTTTTTGTTTGTTTGTTTTGGGTCTTTTGTTTTTGTTTTTAGCTTTTTTGTTTGTAATTTTTAGAGACAGGTTTCCTCTGACTGTCCTGGGACTTGCTTTGTAGCCCAGGCTGACCTCAAACTCAGAGATCTGCCTGCCTCTGCCTCCTGAGTGCTGGGATTAAAAGCTTACATCACCATGCCCAGCCATATTTTTTCTTGGTAAGACAATCTTGCTGTGTATCCAAGTCTACCTTGTAGCCCCCAATACTCTTTTTCATCTCTAGCTTGATTGTAGGCTTGTGCTACCATCTTTGGCTTGATTTCTTCACTGCACTTGGATTTACCCTGTGGTTGCTGCACAACTGGTCTTCTTTCTTCCATCAGTAACCTGTGCTAAAATAGGCTAAGTTCTCCCAGAGCTGTGTAGTGTCACTTGCTGTCTGACTCGGTATGCTGTGTCTTAGCTTCTGGACGGCATGGATCTTGCATGAGTTCCAGCACTGTTACTTAATAGCTTTGCACTCTTGAGCAGTTTGTATGATTAGTAAGTCTTACTTACATTGTTGCAATATTGACCTGTAGTCAGGGGTTATAAAAATTAAGTGGGGAAACTACATGCAAATCTCCTGTTTGTGCCTGGGGGCATGACAACTTCTTCATAAATATTACCCTTTATTCTTAGTCTTTGGCCATTTTCTTTGTTTGCAGTGCGAGGAAGGGCTTCATGGATGCTAGTCAAGTGAGCCATTAACCCAGCCCGTCTCTGGGCATTTTTTGGAGCCTGGCATTACAGTCTTTTTTTTTAGATGAACTTTGGGCCTGTCTTAATTTGACCTTTTTAAAGGTACTTTCTTTATTCTTTTTCAGTATGTCTTCATACTGAGTTTGTATCTTGTGAGCCACCAGATTTCCTTTTACTGGATTTCCTCTATAAAATTATTCATACTCAAGTCTAGTTACAATCCCTCCTTCCTGTTTTCAGCTACCTTAGGCAGTCATTGCTGCCGTAGCTAGTCTCTGCTGCTTTCATTTGTCAGCTCGTCTAACATAATGTGACTCGGTGTTTGTATCTTATTTCTCCAGTGGGAATGTAAACTCTTTACACATGTGAATGGATATTATTTTATTGCTATATAGATCATACCCTACACACACTGTCAGGTGGATGAACTAGCAAGTGAAAGAAAGTTGATGTAATTATCAGCAGTGCGTTTTTCTGAAAGTTGGTGAAATGTTTAAGATGCTATTTCTTTTTAGGTCATTAATGTGGATGATGATGGGAATGAGCTAGGCTCTGGCATAATGGAGCTTACAGACACAGAACTGATTCTATACACCCGTAAACGTGATTCAGTAAAATGGCACTACCTCTGCCTGCGACGATATGGCTATGACTCAAATCTCTTTTCTTTTGAAAGTGGTCGAAGGTGTCAGACTGGACAAGGTAGGTAAAGTCTTTATTTTCTTCAGATATATTTGAAACATTATGCTTTCAGTTATTCTGTGTACAGCGTTTCATTTCTGTAAGTGCTTGTTTGTACACCTAGCCCTTGGGAGGTAGAAGCAGGAGGATTCTTGCAAACTCTACATAGCAAATTCCAAGCCAGCCAGGTTTAAAAAGAAAAACCCTGTGCCAATAAATACATTCCCCACAAAACTCCCAAACAGAATGGTTTAAAAAAATAAATAAATTATGGCTGGGCAGTGATGGCACACCTCTTTAATTCCAGCACTCAGAAGGCAGAGGTAGGTAGATCTTGGAGTTTGAGTCAAGCCTGGTCTACAGAGTTAGTTCCAGAACAGGCAGAGTTCCACAGTTAAATCCTGTCTCAGTTAAAAAAAGAAAAAGAAAAAGAAAAAGAAAAGAAAAGAAAGAAGACTAATTATCCATTCATTTATCAAGCATGCACTTAAACACTTTGCCCTTGGTAGAAGTAAAATGGCTAAGTATTATTTTTGGTTCTAACTTCTTGGGAAAACAATGTAAACACTGGAGTCAGATAGAACATTTTTTTTTTTAACTAATAATGATGATGATGATAATTTTGACTCCCTGCTAATGGAGTAGCTTGGGCAGTTATATGCCTTCTATTGGAACTTTGTAAAAGGGCAATGATAATGCCTGTCTTATGGGATTGTTTTAGTGAACAAGGTGATGATTATAAAGCCCACAGGCAGGCCTGCTCGGTAGTGAGTGTTGCGTTGTTCCTGGTGACTGGGCTCCCCCTGCTGTTAAAGCTTCTAGAGTATATGTGCAGATAGATCCCCTTTGCTCTGAAAAGTTCTGTAAACAAACTGAAATTATCTTAGCTTTATGGATTTATACCTTGAAATAAGACATATATAATTGATTTGTCAGAAGTTATTTCTTGCTGTTGGCACATTAGGATGCTGTCTTAGTCGCTGTTCTATTGCTGTGAAGAAATACCATGACCAAGGCAAACCTTATAAAGGAAATATTTAACTGGGGGATAGCTTACAGTTGTCCTCGGGGCAGGGAGCATGTTTTGCATGCATGGTGCTGGAGCAGTAGCTGAGAGCCTTTCATCCTGATGCACTGGTGACAGCTGAGACTGTGCTGACCTGGGCTTTCAATACCTCAAAAACCCTTCCCAGTGACACAGTCCCTCTCACGAGGCCATACTTAATCCTTCTTAAACATTCCACCAGCTAGGAACTAGATGTTCAAATATTTGAACCTATGAGGCCCATTTTTATTCAGACCACCACAGGTACCTATTTCACAACTTCTTTTTCTTTGTGTTCTTATAACTTTTCAAAAAAGTTTATTACCATATATTAATTATATACATAAAATGAGGTTTGTTGGCATTTTCATGCATGTTTATAATAAAATTTATCATGTAACCTCTCTTCCACCCTTCCTTAGCTCCCACTGTTGCTGGTCCCTTTCTCTTAGTTAGTCCCCATCTACTTTGATGTCATGGGGAGGGGATTTGGGAGACCTCCAGTGAGTTTATCATTAGAGTCCTTTACAGGAACATGGATGAGGGTTTGTTTACAGGAGCACAGGCACCTTACTGTGCCTTCACCATTGATAAAATGTCTTTCCGCCCCACATTAACCATTAACTCGGTAGAAATCCTAGATTCCTTGAGCCAGTTCCCCTACCCCATGGCAGGGTATGCTGATGGGTCTAGTAAGTTCAGTCCTTATGCATATAATCACGGCTGCTGTGCATTGAAGAGTGCAACAGCTTGTTGTGCCTGGAAGTCAGCATTCCATCCCAAACTCCTTGCCCTTCCTTTGGGTCTGACAGTTTTCTGCCCTTTCTTCTGTACAGTTCCTGAGCCTTGGAGGGGTTATACAGATGTCCCAATTACAGCCAGGTGTCCAGCAGTCACTTGTTCTCTGTCCTTTGATCCATCCCTGCAGTCACTGCTGACCACTGCTCTTGTGACCAAACTTGGTTGTCATGTTTCCCTTTTGATTTGTATTTGTAGGAATCTTTGCCTTTAAGTGTGCACGTGCAGAAGAATTATTTAACATGTTGCAAGAGATTATGCAAAATAATAGTATAAATGTGGTGGAAGAGCCTGTTGTAGAAAGAAATAATCATCAGACAGAATTGGAAGTCCCTAGAACCCCTCGAACACCCACAAGTAAGTAGACGTTTTCTCTGTCATTTTGCATGTCAGACACTTATAAGTACGGGTTATGGACATTTAATCTATAACAATTAGAAATGATTATCAACAACAAAACCCCTGTTAGCTTTAGTGACAAACATTTTAAAAATGAAAACATTAAATATCGCATATTACCTAAAATGTGAGTTAAAAGCCAAATGTATAGCTCAGTGTTGAAATGCTTGACTGTGTGCTGGAGGGAACGGATGTTTTATCATCAGTACTGCCAGAAAGAACAGTCAGCTGATAAAGTAAGATTGGATGGGCTGCTGTTTGTGCTCTAGTTTCTGTGTGTCCTGACAGGAATGTCTCACTAACTCTCAATGCGGATTAAATTCTCACTCATTTTTATTCTCTGCCCTACTCCCATATCCTGTCTTTCTCCTCAACTCAATAAACAAAAACTCAGCTCCAGGGTTTGCTGCTCAGAACTTACCTAATGGATATCCCCGCTACCCTTCATTTGGAGATGCCTCATCCCACCCCTCCAGCCGGCATCCTTCTGTGGGAAGTGCTCGCTTACCCTCAGTCGGTGAAGAGTCTACACATCCTTTGCTCGTGGCTGAGGAACAGGTAAGCAGCTACCGTTGTGTACCAGCAAAACTGTTTGTGGAGTATTGTGCTGCTGTGTTAATACTTGGAGCTTTTATTGTGAATTTTAGCTTCCACTGTGAATTACTTCTGCATTGGAAATTGGAAAAATGGCATGTATTTGCTAACATGTGCTGAAATATGTACAGATAGATGTAAGGGAGCTTAATTTCTTTCTCTCTCTCTCTCTCTCTCTCTCTCTCTCTCTCTCTCTCTTTCTCTCTTTGAGAAAGGGTCTCACTATGGAGCCCTGGCTTGCCTGGAACTCAATAGACCAAGCTGGCCTTGGACTCCCAGAGAGATCTGCCTGTCTCTGCCTCCTGAGTGCTGGAATTGAAGAACCTTATGAGTAGTTTATATGTCTGTAGAGAGGTACATCTGTCGATGAAGAGAGACAAACTCAGTCAGTTCTTAGTGATTTAGAGTTTATCCTGCTTTTGATGTTTTTAGTCTTTGTTACCAGTGAACTATAGGTGCAAGGGTAGATTTTGGCATTGAAGTTGCTTGGAGCTATTTAGTGTTCCTTACTAGTTCAAATGTGGAACCAAGTATTTGTTTGAACGTTATATATATTATCAGCTAAGCTTGTCTTTTGTAAGTTATGATCATTCATCATTAAGGGATTTTTAGTGTTTTTAAAATCAATTTTTGTGTTCTTTACGTAGTAAACATTTATTATACATTGTTTACTATAATTACATTTTCCTCAGTTTTGCATTTTATTTTTAATCCTAAAATTTTGGGGTCTGGACCTCCAGATATTTTTAGGTTCTCTTTGTAAAATACTATTGAGCTTTTCTAAGTGATAATGGTATCTTATTTGAGTTCTTGTCATTTCTTATTTATTAACCAGGTTTTAATAGCTTAGCAAGGTTTTCTAAAGCATTTGCAAAATGATAATTCTCTTTCTTCCTTCCCCCCTTTTTTGAGACAGGGTCTTGTTATGTAGCCTAAGATAGCCTCAAACTTGGCTATCTTCCTGCCTCTGTCTCCAGAATACCAGGACTATAGGTATGTGTCACCATGATCAGCTGGTTCCCAATACAATGCTGTTAAATATAATGCTGTGTGTTATTTTAAAGTTTTCTGCATACTTTTCCTCCTCCTGTCTTTTTATTAGACAAAAAATAAGTGTAAAAGTTTTAAGGTAACAGTATATTTAAAGAAGAAGTAATAAAATTAATTTAAGTCAATCAGGAATTGTGGCACAAACCAATAATCCCAACATTTTGAAGTAGAGGCAGTTGGATCTAGTTTGATGTTAACCTCGGCAACACAGTGAGACCCTGTTTCAATAAAGAAATAAAATGAATTGGCGTGACCAATATCTTTTTAAAAATTTTTATGTGTATGGGTGTTTTGCCCATGTGTGTGTCTGCACCTGATTATGCAGTGCCTATAGGGGCCAGAAGGGGACATTGGAGTTACAGACAGTTGGGAGCTGCCATGTGGGTGCTAGGAATTGTGAACCAGGTCCTCTGGAAGAGCAGCCAGTGCTCTTAACCACTGAGCCATCTCTCCAGCTCCTCGATTAATCTGGTTATTTTTGCTTTGTGCTTTACCCTTGACTGGTTTGCTTTGTTGTCTTTTTAGGTACATACTTATGTTAACACTACAGGCGTGCAAGAAGAGCGAAAAAATCGTGCAAGTGTGCATGTCCCCCAGGAGGCGAGAGTTTCTAATGCAGAAAGCAACACACCAAAAGAAGAACCAAGTAATACTGAAGACAGGGACCCTCAGGTTCTTCTAAAACCCGAAGGAGTCAAATTTGTTTTAGGACCAACCCCTGTTCAGAAGCAGCTAATGGAAAAGGAGAAACTGGAGCAGCTCAGAAGAGACCAAGTTAGTGGAAGTGGTGCGAATGGCGCGGACTGGGACACTGGCTATGACAGTGACGAACGGAGAGACGTACCCGCTGTTAACAAACTGGTGTATGAAAATATAAATGGGCTATCTATCCCTAGTGCCTCAGGGGTCAGGAGAGGTCGTCTGACATCTACCAGTACCTCGGATACTCAGAACATCAACAATTCTGCTCAGAGGAGAACTGCATTGTTAAACTATGAGAATTTACCATCTTTGCCTCCTGTTTGGGAAGCCCGCAAGCTGAGTAGGGATGAAGATGACAATTTAGGACCAAAGACCCCATCTCTAAATGGCTACCATAATAATCTAGATCCAATGCATAACTATGTTAATACAGAGAATGTAACTGTGCCGGCAAGTGCTCACAAAATAGACTATTCGAGGCGTCGGGATTGTACACCGACAGTCTTTAACTTTGACATCAGGCGCCCCAGCTTAGAACACAGGCAACTCAATTATATACAGGTGGATTTGGAAGGTGGCAGTGACTCCGACAACCCTCAGACTCCAAAAACCCCTACCACTCCCCTTCCACAAACCCCTACCAGGCGCACAGAGCTGTATGCTGTCATAGACATTGAGAGAACTGCTGCTATGTCCAACTTGCAGAAAGCACTGCCACGTGACGATGGTACATCTAGGAAAACTAGACATAATAGTACTGACCTGCCCATGTGAGCCTGGAAAGCATTACGTCGTTTGCACCTTCGTGAAGTTCTTAAAAATGAAGATGCAATGCTTCATTTTCATTTCTACACTAACTCCTTTTATAGACTGATGAATTTTTTTTCTGAATATTTCATGTGCATCTTTAAAGGGAATTAATGTAGAGCAGGTACTCCTTACAGAACACTAATTTCATTATATATTCTACTCATTATTGTACAGCAGCATTCCCATTTTCACAGTGCCTATTTAAAATGAGATTTGAAGTGAATGACATGCTGGTTGATTTTTATTCCATATCCAGGACATATGTATATCTTTCACGTCTAAGTTGTGTTGGCATTTAAACCTTTGATAAAGTCTCTTGATAACGTGCATTGCTAACATAGCTCTAGGCTTTGAAGGTAGGACTTGTAGAATCACTGCTCACAGTGTATGGTCTACAGCATGGAACATGAGGAATCTTATTTCATTAATTAAAGGCTTTTTGACTTGGGCCAAAAAAAAAAAAAAAAAAGAAGAAGAAGACGACGACGAAGAAGAAGCAAAAGAACCACACCTCCTTTTGTACCAGTCAGCTCCTCTGTCTTCAGTGTTACTAGAAAGAGTGCGGTATCATGAATATAGTTGCATTTTGGAAGGCAGACAGGAGACAAAGTTTTGTTTACTCATCTCATGGTGTCGTTTGAAGGGCATGTCCAGATATCTTACTCAGAATTACTATAGGGTTAGGAGTCAGTCTCAGGTCACTTTATCCAAAAACATTTTAAAAATCCACACCATGATCTCTTGGCGTTTCTTTTCTGTAGATCGACAGCACATTGCTTTCTGGAGACATGTGCCATTAAGTTCCCATTCAGCTTCAGCTTTTCCCCTTTGGTATTTGGGTTGTCTTACTTTGTTTTGTAATGTCTTTCTCAATTTACAATACAATGTTTGAGTTTGTATATCATCTTGGAATGGGATTGTGTGTTTATTGTTACTTGGTTTGCCTTTTTGTCAATTTATGGTCTTGAAAGTCCATTTGGAACTGACTGTTATTTTCTAACAGGGTTGCCCTTGTCCAGTATTTATTTTTATCTGCTGTTTACTTTTCAAGTTAATGAAAAAAGCATTGTCTCGATTTTAAATTTCATTTGTGTCCATAGGTGATCTCTTTACTAGCTGAGAAAAGAAGGAAGATACTCTAAACATGTGAGTTCCCATGGTCCTGTCCTCCCTGTGGGCACACTCCCCAGCACTTTAGTGGGGATTGCTCAGCTACATGGCTGCAGTCCCACTCTGCCCACTCTGCTGCTCCTGGGCTCTGCTGTCCTTCCCGTGGAGCTAGGCTCTTATTATCCCCTGATTTTGGTGAGCTTTTAATATTGTTGCCAGCATAGCGAGTACAGGGAAGTCTTGAGGATCTGAAATGAATAAATATTTATATAAACTGGTGAGAGTCCAGATGTTGGACTCTTAGAAATCAAGAATGCTCCAGATTCCTAAACCATTGTAGAATAAAGACAAGAGTGGAAGGACAGGTAGCCTTACAAAATATTTTACGTTTTTCTCTAATGTTGAAGAAGTTTCATATAGTGATATGGCTATATCAGGTGTGGCTAAAGTTGATTTAACAAGAACAGGTCTCAGTCCTAGAACATTCTGTGTATTCAGGAACTCATCATAAAACCATAACTAGATTAGCAGAACAGTAGAGTGGGACCATTTTGAAAATAAATTATTTCAGTTGTCTTTATCGGTTTTAGTGCCGTTGGTTTATAGCAGAATTTTTTTCCTGCTTTTTTCCTCTGTAAACTTGGTGCTTACTAAAATGTTCACTGTTCTCCCTAAGAGAGCAACGACCAGACGTGCAGATTCCATGCTTAATATCCGCTTCTGTTTATCCTTTCTTCTGAGTAGACTGCTAATTGTGCCAAATTTCAGTGGTGGTTTTTTGAACATAGGGTAAGAACTCTGATAGCAGCAGTGTACACGATTTCCTGAGGGCGAGCATCAGGACAGCCTAGCTGACTGGCGTGAGGGGCTGATCGCTCTGGAGGCTGGGTGCTCTGTGCTTCCTTTGTGCTCTCCACTTTCTCTTCAGATTTGAGTTAGATTCATTTTATTTTATTTTATTTTTGGTGACTCTAATATAATCACTACAGTGTATGCTTTAAATAGTGTATGGTTTAAGAATAAAAACGGAACCAATCTGTCTGCTAACCATTTGATTTTAGGGGACTATATGAATATTAATTAGGAAGAGGTAAACAGGTGATGTTAACTTCTAGATGTCTTCTGGAAACTGCCTTTGTTTCTATTTAATCAGTCATTTAGAATACCTGTTCTTTACAGTAGTCTCATAATGGGCATTAAGCTCTGTCTTGGAAGAATGTACCTATTACTATTTGGTGAATTTCAGAGTGAGATATTTTATTGGCACATATTTGTGGCCATATGTCTCAAATTTTCTGAGACAAACTTAATTTTAGGTAATTGGTTTTATTGATTAGACCATGTGACACTACTTTTTGGTTTTGAAAATATAATCCTTGTTCCTCCCCCCCACCCAAATAAAATCCTTTTTTTATCCATACAGTTTTTCGAGACCAGGGGTGAAAAGTGGTATAGGTATTACTAGTGTTTTTCTCAATGGCTTGCTTCTCAGTTTCATCTTCCTTTGAAAAAAATGAAAATATGGTGCCTTCCCTCCTTCCAAGAAGATTGGCAAATAGTTCCTTTTGTTCCTGCTGCTGTGGAGTGATGAGACATGCACTTTACTCTCGAAGACTCAGCAAAAAGCTTTCACTTCTCAGTATATCCAGAAAAGATCACATTCGGGACTTAAACTTTGCCAAGCAATCTTTTGTCATTACAGTTATTAATGTTGACCCCCCCCCACAATGTCATAAGTCAAAATTGGTGTTTGTTATTCTCCCCCACTGCTCCCACCCCAGATCTGTGGCACAGCATATAAAAATGTACCTCAATAATGTTCTATTAAAAATGGGACAGGGGCCTTATGTTTTCATAATTTTTCCAACAACGTGCCACCATGTATTTGCCTCAAGGTAAAGGTTTTAACAAGCTAACAAGTACATCCCAGTTTCCCCTGTGCTGTTTTCTACCCAAAATGCCCCAGTGTTCTGTGCAATGTGTAGTGTGTATGTATAAATATATATATATATATATTCTTGAAATAGACATAACATCAGAGACACTCAGAAGTAATGTGTTGGCATCTCATTCATTTCTGATGTGAAGTACATGGTACTATTTACTTTTCCTTAATGTTTGCCAAATTTGAGTCAAGGCATTGGTACGAAATTACAGAATATATAGGAAACATTTTGGCTTGAAAAGTTAACAAATGAAAGTATTCAGACCTATCACAATGTACTCTGCCCAGACCAGCACCCTGTCTTCTTGCTGCCTGTTCCCCATTCCTGCTTCCTCGTTTTTCAGGGTGTAACACAATTCTTTTATAGCATCCTGTAGTTGTAATTCTCTGGCAGTTGGACAAGACGGCATGGAAACAGGCTGGTATCACTAGTACAGCGTCACCAGGTGCCACGTTTGCATTAGTAAGTGCAAAGTAGATGTTTATAAAGGACAAGCTTCGTGTTATGTTTCTATTTTCATTACATTGTATAATACTGTAAGATTATTGTATGTCCTAATTTGCATTATAAATGTTTTTTCCTACATAAAGGCATAAATAATAGCAACTTTGTATAAAGGTAGCTTATTAGATTTTAATTTTTCTCTTATAAAAGTTGTCTACAGTGGGACTACCATTGCCAAATTGTATGTGAGATATGAATTTTATCCCTATGGTTAATTTCTAAACATTCCATGTTTCTCTAATGAAAGACATGATACTGTACTATGCATAAATTGTGTTTTAATGCTGTTTCATTATCAGCATTTTAATTTTGGGTTTGCATTTTTAGTATTGGCAAAACTTAACCACTGTCCATGAAAACCCTGTTGTATGTGTAACAGCATCATTTGCCCTCTGCCCTTCTTGCCCTTTGTTCTTTCCTCTCCTGTCAGTGCCAATTCATACATTTTGTAGCATGGCAATAAAATATAACTTTTACACTGAGGCCAAGTGTGGCTTTTTGGAGGCAGTGGGGTGGGAGGACTGCCGCCTAGTTGTCTTGGTATGTAACTCTTTTTGCCATATAAGCCATGTTGTCAGGCATAAGAGGTTATATATGATGTAAACATGCTCTTAAGGACAAGTGTGGATGTGCTTTAAAACTTTGTTTTTAATGTAAGAAGTAATAACTAATTTTTAATCTTTGGAAAAGTCAGAGTTCTTGAAGTACAATCAAACCTTTATTAACTGGAGTACTTAAAAATAAGCTAATAATAGAATTTTGTTAAACAAGGGCTAAGCAACACTTTTAAAAAGTTCTTATTTATTGTTGAGTATTAGTATATCTTACTATCCTAAAATTATAATGTGTAAAATATGGTTTGATCTTAGACAATGTAGCATCTTGCAATGCCTTACTGTTATCATTCTGGCATAAATATCCGTGATGAGGTACTCAAGTTGATACTGGAAGCCGAGCTGACTATACACTGACCTTAAGCATTCATGAAAAACTGCTTTGTTAAATAAAATCTGATGAGTTCTTATGGTCACTTTTCCCTTATTGCCAAAAGTAGATTGCAATAAAACCCAAATAAAAGCTTGGTTGGATACTTATTTAAAGTTTTACTGTATTTATATTCCATATATTACTTGCATTTTTAAAAAAGATTTTATGTTTAATAATTCTTATGTTGGGGAGTGGTGTTTTGCATGTGGATGCAGTGCCCTTGTAAGTAAGAAGAGGAGTTGATTCCCAACAGATAGCTTGTTAGCTCTCCAACTTGCAGTTGGTGAAGAACAAACTAGGGTCCTCTACTAAGCCATATCTCCTGCCAGATTTGTTTTCAAAGTGAATATATATATATATATATATATGTGCTCACTTGGCAGACCTTCTCACTATCTAATGTATGTGCTCATTCCAATTTATCCTCCCTAGTTCTGGGAACCCAAGCCTGCTTTTAACCACTGAATGAGATTGCCAAGCCTTGTCTAATACAGCAGAGATGGAAGTCATTTAAGCGATGGAGGGGTAGACAAACCCACAAATAACTGGGTGTGTACACGTGCCACACATTAGAGAACACTCCAGTTGGTTGTGATGACACAAAGCATCTTTCAACAATACGGTGTTAATGATCAGAATTTTAAAACCTCTGATTATTTATGTATTTTTCTTTTGAAGAGCTTCTGAGGACAGTAACTGTTCACGTGTTCGTATTTAGCAGGTGGGCTTAAGTTAGGCCCTCTGCTAGTCACTGAGACAGCAGCCTTTGACATCGAAACAGTCTATAGTTAGACCATCACTAATGACAGAAGGCAATGTCTCTTCTCCCAAAGAAGTACACCCTAAGACATATAGCATATTAAAACCAACGTCTATGATACCTTTAGACAGTAGCCAGTTTCCTTAGGAGAACTGAGGAGAGTGTTACTTTTTTAAAAAGTGTGTGCGACAGACAGGTTCTGGAGACTTCCTTATGAATATTTTATTCAGCTATGTGGGAAAAGCCTGTATGGATTCTGGGAAATGCACATAGCTTGGAAGAAGTGTTTCCTGTGTACTGTAGCTATTCAGACTCCCTCAAATATTTCCTACCTCCTGTAAAGTCTAATAGTGGTTTTTATAGAAGCGTCACAGATTTTTGAAAAACTTTTCCCTGCTTACTACCAGAGGGGTCAGTACCGTCCCCACTGAGAACCTCAGGAGCCAGAAGCCACCTATAAACACAGAGAGCAAAGAGCAGCTGCAGAGTGTGCTGTTTTAGTGCTGACTTAACAGCTGCCATGCACTATCACAAATGCTAGGTTATTTTATTTAAGAACATGAATAATTTTGTGTGTGCATTTGCATGTGTATGCACACACGTGCAGATATCCTTGGGAGCCTGGGAGAGTTTCAGGTTCCCCAGACCTGGAGTCACAGGCATTTGTGAGCTCCCAGGGATGGGTGCTGAAAACCAAATTCCTGTATTCTGCAAGTAGTCGTAACTGCTAAGCCATCTCTCCAGGCCTCTATGCATTTACTTTAAAGACTGTCCTGTCTGTTTCCATTGGCAAACTAGTAAGCAGCAGCATTGTGTGTGTGGTGAATGGTAGGACAATTTAGTGCCAAACAGCAAGAGTCCAAGTAGACTTTGACTGTGGAGTCCTGACTACTCTACTATTAGGAAAGTTCTTGAGGAATGTGGAGAGGTCTCATATGTTGTTTGCTTTTCAGTTACATCACTCCAAACTAGTGATTCTTAATCCATGGGTCGTGACCCCTTTAGAGGTCAAACGGTCCCTTCATAGGGGTCATCTCTGTCCAATAATCTCATACTACAGAGCTTTGCATGTTATTCCAAGCACAACAACGGAGGAAACAATGTTTTGCAAACCATATTGGAGTTATAGCTAACCTAAATAGAGCTTGTTGTAGTTCAGGCATCCTCTAAGCAATTTAGTCTTGCTTTTATGAGATATATTCTAAGTCTATTTCATATACCAGGAAATTGAGGCACAGAGGTAATGTAGCTTAGGGGTGACGAATTAACAGACAATTCACTAAAAGGAATTCAAACCACAGGAAAGTAAAGGAGACAAGAGATAGGTGAATCTCTGAGTTCGAAGCCAGCCTGGTCTACAGAGAGAGTTCTAGGACAGCCAGGGCTGTTGCACAGAGAAATCCTGGCTCACAAACACACACACACAGGGAGGGTCAGGAAGACAGAGTGGGAAAAGCTAAGAGAAAACAACCCTGAGGAACAAAGAAGGAAATAAACCAGAAGATGTCTTGGAACATACCCAGTATAAACTGCTATACAATTTATAGAAGATGTTTTAGGGGTAAAAGGATACATTCAGCGAGTGGGATGTTTTGAAATGGCTTTCAGTGAGTGAACTGATTCAGAGTGCTTATGGAAGCCCTAGATGATTAGTGATAAAAACAAGTTGAAGTTCAAATTCATTGTTGCTTGGTACTAGAGATTGAATATTTAACCTCTCAGGTGTGGGAGAGGCACCAAGTAAAGGGGGACAGGTGGAAGAAACCAAAGATAAAAAGAAGAAAGAGCAAAAGTCTACAGAGCCCCCATTACAGGGGACTCCTGGCTTCCTTTCAGATCTGTAGGATCTGAAATGATCTACAGGATCCAAATGCCCTTGTGTCCACCTGCTCTTCCACAGTCTCAACAGGAAGGGGACACAGATAGCCCATCATCCACAATCTCAAGTTTGTTTGCCACCTACTGGACAGGAGAGCAGTAACTCAGTACATAATTTATCCGCGATAAAATTAGCCTTTTAAAATGTGCGGGCATGTTAGTTTCTCAGCGTGACTTGTTTCCAAACACCACCTGGGATCTGCCCATTAAAACACATGTCCTAGAGAAATTTCCCTGCAATGTTTCAAGTAACAGTTTGCTGGGCCTGATTTACCCCTGGTCATAGTGGACCTTAGAATAGTGTCCACCAGGGTCACAGACCTGTTTAAAATAATGACTGTTGTAGACTTGGATCCCATAGACTATCATAATTTCTTAATTATTTGTAACTGTCACAGGATAAAAGAAGAATATACCTTTCTTCGAACAAAGTTCTGTGTCGGTATAAAAATACCAATTTCATAAAATTTTCATGTGTTGTGGCTTTTTTTCCCCCAAACATTTAAATATAAACCACTCTTAGTGCTTGTGGGTTGAACTGCTCACTACTCCAGCTCCAGGGGATTTGATGCCCTCTTTTGGCCTCTGCCAGTACTTACATCTGTGATACACATGCACACACACATGTGCAAAAATTAAAAAAAAAATTGAAAAGTATGCTCAGTGATTGAAGGTTTATGCTGTTGATCCTGACAGTCTGAGTTCAATCCTCAGGACCTACGTGGTGGCAGCACAAAACTCATTTCTTCAAGTTGCCCTCATGTCCCATGGCACACATACATATGCACACATTATTTTTCAAAAGTTGCTTAAAACTTCAAAAGCAGTTGGTAACTAGATTTGAGGCTCTATAGCTTGTCCACCCAATATAAATTAAGTTACTATGTCTGAGGGTAGAGATAACTAAACATTGAAAATGCCTTAGTATTGTCAATTGTCCAAAATAAAAGGACTAGCTAAGTGTGCCAAAAAGGAAAAACTTTTTTTTTTTTAAAGCATTGAAGCTTTGCTTTAGATACCCTAGGGTGTCAAGGGGAAGGAGAAACCTTTTTTTAACAAACTGAAATAATTCAGACTGTTCTTGATCTCCACTGACACATTAGTTCCCCCCTCTCCCCCAGGGAAAACAAAATGAAGGGAGAAACTGCAAGTGGATAACCAGGGCCAAGGTAAAAGTCTCAGTGAAAGACTGACTAGCGCTTGTCCTGGGCAGTTAATATCCATCCAATTACAGCGTTTTCAATTTAAAAGAACTCCGGAGTAGTGGCACCCTCCATTAAGATCTGTACTCCGGAGGCAGTGGCAGGTGGATCTGAATTCCAGGCCTGTCTGGTCTACCTCGTTGAGTTCCAAGACAAGCCAGAGCTACACAGTAAGACCCTGTCTAAAAAATTAAGTGAATATTCGTTTATGCCTAAAATAAAATTAGTAATAGGCCGGGTGGTGGTGGCGCACGCCTTTAATCCCAGCACTCGGGAGGCAGAGGCAGGCGGATTTCTGAGTTCGAGGCCAGCCTGGTCTACAGGAGCTAGTTCCAGGACAGGCTCTAAAACTACAGGGAAACCCTGTCTCGAAAAGCCAATATATATATATATTGTATTACATATATGTATATGTAAGAGTATTACTTACACACACACACACACATATGTAAGAGTATTACTTAGTAGTATATTGGTAAATAGTCCCCCCAAAAGGGGGGGAAACACGAAAAATTGAGTGGTTGCTTCCAGGGAGAGTAAATGATGGAAATGATTAGTATGCAACACTTGAAACTGTACATCTGACCTTAAAAATATTCGTAAGCAGGAACATCGTTTCTATGGCAACCGGCGCGGTACACAATCTCTTTGTCCCGGCGTTCTTCTAGATAGCCCGCCTACATCCCCAGTGCCGCCAAGTGGGCGTAGCGAAGGACTAGGCCCCTCCCCCTCCACGGCGAGGCGGCGCTTCCGGCCCAGCCCAGTACCGCGGGAGGCAGGCGGCGGTGCGGGCGGAAACCCACGAGCTCGGCCCCGCCCCCTACGGTAGCGCGTGTCGTCACTTCCACCTTCCTTTCTCCTGCCGTCTTCCCGGCGCTGCTCGCGAGGGATTATCCTGTGTGCTGAGTTCGTCGGAACCATGGTGAGCCTAGCTTCCGGCCCACGACCTGTGTTCCTGCCCGGGTCCCGCTGTGGCCGGTGCCCCCGCTGCTCCCCTTGCCTAACTGGGGGCGGGCGACCGTCCTCTGGGCCGCTCGCACATGGCCCGGGCCGGGGTGAGGCCTGCGTGCGATCCGCAGGCCGAGCTCTCCACGGGGGGCGCGACGGGAGGATGCGCCCTAAGCCAGCATCTCTTTTTAAAATCGGGCTTCTTAGTGGTTAGGGGTACCCGACGATCCCCGGGACTCAGCCCAAACGAAGAAGTTTCTAGCACTCTTATCAGCCCCGCCCTCCTCGGGGCGGGGCTTGAAGGGCGGGTGACGGCGTA